CGTCCCGCGTGGAGCCCGCACGCCCGAGGCCCCGCCATGGCCGGTGCGGGATGTGCCCCCGACGGCCGCGCTGCCGGGACCTGCCCCCGGGACCGCCCCGTCCGGCCCGCCCAGCAGCGCCCAGCCTGGTTCGAACTTGCAGCCGTTCTCCAGGATGTGCTTTTTCTCTTCCGAGTCTTTCGTTTGTGTCCTGTGCAACGTCTCGTTTGCAGAAACCGAAACAAACTGCTCACGCTCCTGCAAAGTTTGCATACGTACCTGTTTTCTTCGGCCAGAAGTCTTAGCTACATCCAGCCAAAGTCACACGTTGTTGGGTTTTGTTTGTTTGCTTGTTTTTAATCTTATTTCTTTCTATTAATAAAAGCAATCCCAGATACTGGGGGGTTGGAGGAGGATGGAAGTGAAAACATAGGAAGATACTATTTTAAAACAAGCATTTTGGTGGCAAAGTCTGAGTCAGTGTGTGTTTCATACACGAGGTTGTGGAGCTCCAAGGAGCAAGGGCAGTCCCACTGAAAACGGGTGGAATCTCCTTCCTGCCAAAGAGCTGCTGTTTAGAAAGTTTTTCTCCAAGTGTGCCCTGCTCAGCCCCCATGCTAGAGCACTGGAATTATAAGGGTACTTAGGGATATCTGGGAACTATTCACTCTCACCTCCCCACACAAAAAAGCACCAGTGCCTGCTCTGAAATGTGTAAAGATGATGATTTCACAGCCTCCCTGGGACACTGCTCCAGCTTTCAACCATTCTCACAGCGACAACTTTTCCTGGTGTGAAATCAACATTTTCCTCATTCTAACTTGTGCCATGTTGTTTCACTGCGTCCTTCCAAGGGGAATTGCCTCATCCCTGTGTCCTTCAATGGGAGAGTTACAGACAGTGCTGAGTTCTCTGCTGGAGGACAATCAAGCCCAGTTCCTTCCATGTCTCTTTGGACATGCTCTGGTACTGGAGGTGGATTCTGCAGGAGAGTCTTGCCCTGGAAGTCTGGGGCTGGTTTTCATCACCAAGAGGTTACACTGTTGGAAGATACTCAGCCCAGCACCTCCTTCTAGCAAAGTTGCTCCCAAGCCTGTTGGTGCCCAGCCTTAATTGTTGAAGTTACTTCATGGGTTGGACAAGCCCAGAGGCCTGTCCTGATCTTTGTGAGGTTCATGGTGGTGCATTTCTGCAGCTTGTCACAGCCCCTCAGAAGGCTGCTGCTCTGCTATTCATCATCCTCTGCTCCACCCCATCCTGGCGTGTGATCAACAGCAAACTCACTGAGGGCATAGTCCATCCTGTTGCCCTAGTTGGTAAATAGTGTTAAAGAGCGTTGGGCTCCGCATCGATCCCTGAGGAGCAGCAGTAGCACCCAGCTACCATCTGGACTTTGTACATCTAATGATTCCACTTAGTTCCTAGCAATCCAGGTGGTTTTCCATCCACTCTCTGAAAAACAGCTCCTAAGTTTGTCTGTAAGAACTTCATTGAGGTCGATGACTTGAAGTGTTAGAATTTGCAGGTTATTAGTACCTGGGGCTTTATTTCCCATTTCACATGTGACTTTGCAAATGAACTTACTGAGCTGGACTTTCTGGACTTCTCAGTGAGGTTTTCCTTAGAGGAGAGAGTTACAGTAAAACTTCAATGTTTGCATAAAGACTAGTGGATGGTGAAGTGCTGATACCATGCACTAAAGTGAGAATACTTTCACCTTGGCACTTCACTGCCTGACAATGTGGGGAAAAACGCTGCTGCACCGTGGCTGTGAGAGGCCAGAAGATCAGGAGAGGCCCTGTTCTTTGCATGCAGCTCCTACATTCCTCTTTCTGGAGGGGAACTGTAAAAAATGCCTCGGAGCATGTGTCAGGCTGTTCTTGGCCAAGAAGAACTACCTCCAGCACAGACAGTGGGGAGAAGTAGTTAATTCAAGAAGAAAAGAAGAAGGCATAATGTTTTCCTGCTTAAGCACCATCTCATGGTGAAAGACAGTTGAGGAAGAGGAGTGGGGTGGGCTAGTGGGGTCAAAAGGGAGTCTTCACCTGTTAGGTTTGAGGTGAAGCAACACTCTCCTTTGCTTGACTTTGGTTGTCACAAGCCTTCTGCAAGCCAGGGGTGCATTTCTGAAAAGCTTGTGTGTGGAGCTGGCAGTGTGCAACACACAGAGACCTAGCTTTGGCTTACCCATAGAAGCCTCTATTTCTTTGTACAGAAAATCCCTAATAAAAACTAGGAGTCCATCTTTGTATTTGAGTGTAGGGCTGAAGGATCTGTTTTTGTGTACAATTTACAGGTTATTGAAAGATTTTTTACTGCAGAATCAGAGTTTATTGTTTAGGTTTTACTGAAGGTTAACCATCTGTAGCAGGATTGTGCAGGGAAGCTCTATTTTATTCTGGGTCCAGTGAAACTTCTGGAATCTTTTGAATGTGGCCGTGTGTTTTTAATAATCTGATTTTAGAGTTCTTTAAAAAGTGTCTTAGTAGTTCTGCAGCATTTCAGTTTTCATGTTTGAGTTTTATTTTCCTGAAGAACAAACAAAATGTTGAAGTTCCTAATTTTACTGGCAGTGAATACTCTTTGTGTTTCAACAATTTCATTAAGAAAGTCAATAAAAGTAGAAATTATTTGTAGCTTAATTGCTCACTATTTCATTTTACAATGTGGAAAATTGTTCTAAGCTATCAGTAATGTACTAATGTGTACATTTCTGGGTAATTTTTAGCAAAATATATACTAAAATATTTACTCTTCAAAACATACATTCCACACTATTAAGGAGGTGTCCAAAGTATTAAAGGGAAAACTACAGAAAGTGACACACTTCAAGTCATCTTTCCTTTGCACAAGGTGAAAAGGAAGAACTGAGGTCAAGGATACACATGGATTTTAAGTCTGATACAGAAGGGGGGGGAGGGACTAAAAATTTAGTATAGGGCAATCCAACAATTACTACACATTATCACAATCACATTAATGTAAGCAAATAAACTAATATATATTGACGTAAATAAAGATACCAACAGCTGACTCAGCCACAAACCACTCAATTACAAAAAAAGGAAAATTCTTTCCAAATTTCTGGTTTTTTTGCCAGCACTTTTTATTTCAGTTTTTAATCCAGTGACCAGAAAAAATACCAAACTGGAATGAGATATCAAGTTATCTGAATAGGTACCCCGCATTATTATGCTGTCATATGGGGCTCTGAAAATCAGTCCCAGGGAGCCATCAGAGTTCCACAGCTGCTCTGGCAGTCTCAGCTGAGATCCTCCACACACTCCAGCTTGCAGTGGCACATCTGCCCCAGGAGGAATCCCAGGCACCAGCCCAGGTCCCAGAAAGCCTGCATCCAGTTTTCACAAGCCTAGGCTGGGCATTGTCTGGCCCACACTACATCTTTCTCTGCAACCTTCTTATCCAGCAACAACACCTGCTCTTGCCAGAGTCATCCTGTATGCTGAAGATCCTGGGTTGTAGCCTGGAGATTTACCTTTGGATGATGCTGGTCTTGGCCTACAGAATAGTCTGTATGAAGGACAGTGACACACCAGAGCTGGGGAAAAGAGCAGATACCTCAGTTTTGACTTTCCTTGTCAAAGAACTCTCAAGACTGGCCAGCTCTGCCTCAGAGACCAAAACCCATCAAAGACTGTAGTCATCAGAATCAAAAATGCAGCAACTGCTGGATGAGAAGCTGGACATGAGCTGGCAATGTGCACTTGCAGCCCAGAAGGCCAACACTGGCACAGGTTGCCCAGAGAGGATGGTAGATGCCACACTCTTCCTTATGCACCCTAGGATTCCACTGGCCCTCTTGGCAACAAGGACACACTGCTGGCTCATGGATAATTTACTGGACTCCCAGATCCTTCTCCTCAGAACTGCTTTCCAGCAGGTCCACCCCTAACCTATATTGGTGCATGGGGTTCTTCCTCCCAGGTGCAGGACCCTGCACTTGCCCTTGTTGAACCTCATTAGGTTCTTCTCTGCCCAGTTCTCCAGTCTGTGCAGGTGGCACTGGATGGCAGCACATCCCTGTGGAGTGTCACCAACTCCCAGTTTGGAATCATCAGTGAACTTGCAGAGTATACACTCTGTCCCCTCATCCAGGTCGTTGATGAAAATGTTTGTGCTGGTTCGGAGGGGCGGTATTTTTGGTAGTGGGGGAAGGGTCCCAAGATGGCTTGGGTAAGAAGCTGAGAAGCTCCCCCTGCTCCAAACCCAGCCAAGGAGCCATTAGAGGGACAATAGATGCACCTCAGGGATTGACATACGAAAGAGCTGAGACCAGAGCAGAGCTTAGGGAGAAAGAAGAGCTGAGCTGGAGAGGTGAAAGGCAGTGCCAGGGTGAAGATCCCAGTGGTTGGTGAGGAAGAAGGGGCAGAAGGTGCCCAAGCAGAAGTTTCCCTGCAACCCATGGCGAGATGGCAGCTGTGCCCCTGCACTCGTGGAGGAACGTGGTGGAACATTCCCTGAAGGTGCCAGGAGGGGTGAACTTGGCCACTGGACTTGGATTTTGTGGCCAGAGGATTTGCTGCCAGTGGACTCTGATTGCTCAGCTTTGGAAGACCCCGGTGCCAGGGGAGTTTGTTCCCGAAGCAGCCCCTGACTCTGTGGGAAGCCCAGGCTGGAGCAGCTCCAGACCTTGTGGGAAGGACTCATGAAGGAGAGGTTTGTGGAGGACTCTCTCCCATGGGAGGGACTCCGTGGGGAATCAGGGCAGGACTGTAAGGAATCCTTCTTCTTGAGGAGGAAGGAGCAGGAGGAACCACCAGCCTGTGAACTGACTCTAAACCCCATCCCCTGTCTCCCAGTGCCGCTGGGGGGAAGGAGGGAGAGAAACTGGGAACAAAGGGACTTGGGTCTGGGAAGAAGGGAGGGGTGGGGCAATGTGTGCAAGCCCTGCTCTTTGTGTTGTCTGTGTCCTGTGTGTGTTTGATTAGTGTGAAATTAAAGTATTATTTTTCCCCAAGTTGAGTCTGTTTTGCCCGGGACCTTAATTGGTGAAGAACCCTCCTTGTCCTTTGTCTCAACCCATGAGCTTTGTCCTCCTCATCCCACAGTGTGTCTGGTGGGAAGTTGAATGAGCAGCCACGGGGCTGTTCCTTTGTTGTCTTGTTGGGCCCAGACCACAACGTTGTTGAACAAGACCAGATCAAGTACTGGTTCCTGGGGGACACCCCAATGTTAGAGGCCTCCAACTCAACCCTGTCCCACTGATCACAACCCTCTGAGTTCTCTCACACAGCCAGTTCTCCATCCACCTC